GACATGACATGAAATTTATTAGGTCCATAACTTGAACCTCCTTTGGGAAATCCCAGCTAAAGGCCTGTTTCTTCATAATTAAAAGCTAGGGAAAGTCATCATGATGGAGAAATTATTGCGTTCCTCTTTGGTTCAGCTGCCATCTCAACAATCGATTTGTGCCCGGTGCCACCTCCTGTCTCAGAGCACCTGAAAACCTGAAAGCAGCAGTACTAAGGATAACAATGTTTTTAAATGGTGAAAACTCCCCATTATGAATTTTCAATCTTCTAGACAAGAAATTACTCCAGGTGCTATGGAATCCATGCCTAACAGTACAAGAAATTTCAACATATCCATGTGATTGTGCAGGTAAGCAGAGCAGGCTTTCCAAAAATTATGATAGAAGCCCAAAGAAAAATTCTAAAGTTTAACTTGAATTGCTCTAGAGGGGACCAGATTAAAATTGTGTTGTGTATTTTATTATTTTGACCACTTGTTCTGCTGTCAAGCACCAAAAATGGCACACACCAAACACAAACTGAAGAACCCAAATTAACAATATTTGTATCATGGGAAATGATGATATTTGTGACATAGGAAATTATTGGTTGGGAAGTGGTGAAATGAACATTTATAGGCTGAGATAATCAATGGCTAGGACACCTGGGGGACAATATGGGAAAACCCATATTCTCATCAAGGAACTGCAAGTTTCTTCATTCATCTGCAAGTGCTTCACTGTCTTATTCCTCTGTAGTGAAGGGTCAACCCCCTGCAAGTGTCTACTTGCACAGAGTTCCCTTAGCTGCAAACTCTGGGTTTTCCTTCACTTATAATTTTACTCTATTTTAATAATCTGGTTTGAAATTTTCTATCCCCCCCACATCCTTATTTTACATGGTAATCTTTAGAAAGCAGGAGAGTGAGTAGGCACAGCAGTTTGCCCACACATGTGGCAGTGTGATGACATTTGAGGACAGATGCAATAATGCACACCTTGACCAGTGTCTAATCTTTCCTAAATGTCTTTTAATCCATCTACTTCAGACTACTTCTTTCAGAGCACTGTAAAAGAATTTGCGCAGTGTCAGTAAAAAGACACACAGAAAATACCATGGATGAGGGTCCAACAGTGTGTAAATTAGATTTTTCTCTTTTGCCTTGTAGCAGAAGGCAGTTTAAAAAGGTTTCTCAAAAGATATTCACAAAGGTGTCATCTCTGTATTTTCCTCTCAAGAAGGACTAAGCTGTATGGTTTCATCTAATACTGTCAAGAAAAGGTAGCAAACTTTGGAAAGAAATATGTAGGAATCAGGAAAAATCAGAAGTTTCAGAATCAAGTTTTATGCTTGAATTAAGTGTAACACCATGTCCTCATTTCTGTAATCACACCTGTATATTGCCTGTGTGGAAGCAGATCACAATGTACACCTTTATTTTTTAAGTAACACGAAAAATGCAAACAGATGGAGAGGCTACAATTCAGGCTGCCAGTGAGCTGAACCCCAGCAAGTACTGGGAGGTTCCTTGCCTTCCCACAGCAGCTTCAGGAATTTGGCTCAGAATTAGAAGCCAAATTTAGGGTTTTCAATAGCAAGGCAGAATTGAAAATGTGAGCTGGGAAGTCAGTGGGAATGCAGGGAACAGTGAAAGTCCAAAGAAAGCTGCAAGTTAATGAAGGTTAAGAATGTGATATGCAACCACAAATACATATGCTTTAAAAAGCATACCACAAATGCTTTATTTTAGGCCACAGTGAGTGGCCTAAGTAAATAATCCTCAATCATGGAGCTGCAGCTGGCTCCTATGTATGCCTCACACTCTGGGTAGCACTGAGGATGTGGCTCCTTCTATTTTGCTTACATCTCATGCTTGGCATGACCGGAAATCTGACAAACTGAGCCAAACCAGGAGCCTGCAGCAGAAATGATCTTGCTACCATCCACACTTGTGGTGCTGCTGTCTCAGGCTGGCTTGAACACAGAGCCCTCAGTGCAGTGTAGATAAGCACAGATGATGACCACAGAGCCAGCAGCCATGAGGCTGTGAGCTGGACTTAGCACAGATCTTCTGCTCCAGACATGAAACTACTTGAATCATAATGGTAAACCTGCATCACATGGGATCACCACATAAACATAGTCTGAGTGAGCTGCTGCAAACACAGAGGTGTACAGGCTCTTATTCTGATTGTCGTCTGGCTGTTTTAGTGGTGATTTTCCTTGACTTAGAGCAGTATTGAGACTAGAGTTGAACACTAGAGGTATGTAAGCACATCTGTACAATTTTAAGCAGCCTGAAACCAATAGGATATTGCACTTGGTTACATTTCCAAGTGATTTGTGTTTTACTGTTATGTTACTTGTTTATTCATCTTATATTGCACATACTTATATAGTATTGTGCAACACTCAGAATCAGACAATCAGAAACAACATTGCCAAGGATTGTTTAACAAAAAATGGCTTGGATCACTCTACAAACGGTAAACAATTTGTACAAGCTCTAGGCTGAAGCAATCCCAGGATAAAACATTGCTCAACTAATCCACCTTGGGATTTTGTAAAATTAAGAGAGAGAAGGAAAAGACCCACAGTCCCGGGCATGGGAAAGAGAGAAATCTAGTGTGGGAGGGCTTTCCATGGAAAGATGCAAAGGGAAGAGGTAAGAAAACACAGCAAAGTCAAGTTCGTGAGAAATTCCAGCTGATGTTCATGAGGATTTATGAGCAGCTTACTAGTATTCAAAAGCAAAGACAAGGGCTGCCATGGTTAGAAGTAAAACTAAGAACTGAATCTTCAACACCTGATTTAGGTAAGTAATTCTTAACACTTATAAAAGTCTCTTAGAGGTTAATGAGTTTTCTTGGAAGAGGGAGGACTGTAGCAGACATAAAAATTCTCTCTAAAAGGGTACATGAAGATTCTTTAGGTGTGCAATTCCCCCTCCTTTATCAAATTTTCACCTGCACAACAAGGATGCTCATCCACATACTTAAGCAACTTTAGTCAGAGTCACAGAGGTACTGATATCCCCCATAAACCCTGCATCTGGCATTCCAATCAAATCAATCAAGATTTTTAAGAGATTAGGCCTGAATTCCTCTCCCTTAATCCCCAACCAACTCACTTGTCGCCCTTCAACTCCTTTTCTTTTCCATATATTATATTAAGTAGGATTTTCTAGACCTCAGAAATAATTGATTTTGTGTGGCATATATTTTCAGGGATTCAGTCTTCAGCGCCTAACAAAACCAACTCAGGAACCTGGGACTGGTTTCAGTAAGACCTGCATCTCAATCATCTCCCTAGGACTGGGAAAAAAGAACACACATTCTCTAAGAGCAATTCTGAACTCCTATGCATCTACAAACAAAGAGGTGAGAAGAATAAATATAGAGGTAGGCAAGAGGGCAATTTGTAGAATATAACAGAGACCAAGGAACTAATCAAGGTCACACAGAATCAGAACCTAAAAAATTGGGTGAATGGTCAGTGTACACAGTCAGAAGAATACTCAGGCTGTAATAAATGCAATAGGGAGTCAAAGCTGTGAATAGTACAGGGGGACCAGGTAGCACTATCATCACAGAAGAAAATATCTAAAATAGGTTTTCTTTCTTTTCTAATGGTGACAGAACTCCTGAAGACCAAAGAAGTGAAATAAGAAATAATTAATGTTTCCTTAGAGCATAAAAAAACCCCAAAGTACCAGGATTTAAAACTCCTAGGCTCCTGCCTTAAATTTTAATTTGCAAGTCATGATAGTGGAAACATATTATTTTCTCTGTATTTCCTGCAAGCAGCCAGGAGCAATCCAATTGCAATACAACTAATTTAGTTGCTGAACCAAAGAAAGGGTTTAGAGCCTAACTAATGAGATTTGCAATGCCTGGAGTTTAGGCAACTTTTTACCACAGTCACCAAGAAAAGGGCAAATTTACCTGCTGGCAATAAGAAATGCCCAGCATTATAATATAAAGCTCAGGTAACTGATCCAAGCTAGTCCTTACCACCCAGACCCAGTGCCTGGAACAATTCAGTGGCAAAAGATCAGTGTCACTCAGATCTTTTTCTGGAACTTTGCCAGAAGACGTCCATGTCTATTTTTTGACATGAGACAGATAAAGGAGGGAGCAGTGACAACTTTTCCATAGCTGAGTGGTTATAGCAGGTGAAATTTGGGTTCAATCTTCTGATAGTGATGGAGATATCAGAACCCCCTAACCTTAGTCCCATAGGGATGAACCCTTCAAATTCAGCCTTGAAGTGGGGCTGGGAAAGGGAAGCTCACTTTTCCTGGCACTGTTTAGAAAAGTGGTTTTGACACCTCTGTTACTTGGCAATGGCAGGAAGAAGCTCCAAGCCAACAGATGATCCAAGGCTGATGTTAGTCTGAGCAAGGAGCATCACCATCTGGAAGAGCCTGGGACAATGACAACAGGCAGGATTACACTTTTTACCAAAGACAGAAGCAGTAGCAGCCTGGCCAGGACCGGGCTCACATCCTGAGCTGGGCTGACTCCCAGCATGTAATTTTATCTAATCCCTAAATGCTACCGAAACATCGTATTTTCTTCTCATGCCGTGACTGTAAAGAATCTGAAATAAATGTCGTATTTTCATATTTTTCTTGTTACTGCAAAAATGACAAGAATCGTTCTGTTTTCTTGGGGAACGATTTCCTCTCTATCTGGAGGTTTTGCCGTCCCGGTTCCCCCGGGGCGCCGGAAAGCCCGGGGGGGCTTGGAGCGCCGTACCCAGCTCTCCCAGTGCGGGCGGAGGCGCCAGATTTAACAGTAAAAAGGCTCCGTAAGTGGGAGAGCAGCGAGCGCAGGGCGGAGGCGAGCCCGGAGGGCACCGGAGCCGGCCGGGGTGCGAGCTGCCCGGGGCTTCCCAGCCTCATTCTCCCCGGAGCTGGTGTCAGGTATTGCGAGGAGGGGTAGGGGCCCGGGAAGGAGATGGCTGGAGGCTTTCCAGCCCCGGCTCACGCAATGCTAACTCCGCACGCAACGGGGAGGCGACAGCCGGAGGAGGGGAAGCTCTTCGGCTTCCTCAGCCGCTAAGATGCAGGCGAGACTTCGCCTCCCGACAGCGAGAGCTGCGAGCCCGCCCGCCACCTCCTCCGCTAAAACTTTTGGCCCCGGCCATAAAAGCGTCCGCGGCTCAGCCGCTCCGCTTGGCGAGGGCCCAGGGGCAGCTGGCAAATAACTGCGACCCCTCAAGCCAAAGGACGGGCCAGGCAACAGCGATTTGCCAGCGGGGCCGTCCGCGTCCCGCCCGCACCGCGCCGCGCACCGCGGATGCCGGCAGGTTTAAAGCCGGGAGTGGCAATGCCAGGCGCCCAGAGGTGACGGCTCCGATTCCGGCTGAGTCTGAGAACAGCGGGCCGTCCTCTCCGCGCCCTCTGAGCCGCTCGCCTTTGCTCCCTGCGGCGGGCTGGGCTGGCCCCGTCCAGTCCCCGCAGGCCAGCAGGCGGGTGGGAGGGAGAGAGAGAGGGAGGGGGCGCAGCAGCCCGCTCACTCCCGGTCCGCGGAGCTGCTCAGGGCAGGTGGCTGCCTTGGGGCGAGAGGGTTAAAGAGCTCGGAAGGTGATAACTGCGCAGGGATCGGGCGCAACTGGCATTTGCCTGCACATGACCTGCCAAGCTCCGGGTGACAGGTACCGGGGCTCTTAATGAGTTTCCCAAAGGCTTGGATCTGAACGCCGCCGTCGCCGCTCTCCTCGGAGCCGCGGCTGTCCGTTAGTGCTGCCGCCGGCTGCACAGCTCCTCTCCATCCTCCTCAAGGTCTCGGATGGAAGCAGTGTGCAACAGGTCAGTTCTGCTACAGGAGCCCGCCGTTTATTTCACCCCTTCATCCTCTCGCTGCTTCTGGGAGGCTGGAGCGGGTGATGCCCGGGCACGGGGATGGGAAGCGGGGCCAGTCAGCACTGCCACGCTGAGTCCTCAGGCACCCTCCGCCGCCCATCCCCGGGGCGGCAGACCGCCAGCCTGCGATGCCGCGACGGGCCCGAAGGCGCGGGGAGGAGGGAAGGGCTCGGGACGGAGAGAGCTCCGTGGCCGCGTGCGTTTCCCCGGAGCAGCGGGAAATTCCGACAGTGGGGCGGGTAACCCGTTTCTCGCAGGGGCTTTTTCGCCGGGGGAAGCGAGGTGCAGCGCCAGAATTAACCTGTCTCCGGCGCACAGCAATTGCCTGCATCTGCGGAGGCTCGACAGCCGAGAGCCGGCACCCTTCTGGTTTCCCCTGTGCCTCTCTCGGCCGTGACCTGTTGGATCTCTCGCTGAAAACTTTCCCTACCGGCGGAGAGAGAGCAGCGGCCCCTCCGCCAAACACGACTTCGATCTCTTATTAGGAGCTTGCCACTTGATTATCCCTTGTTTTTCGCACAGGATTCGGGGGGCTTTAGGCACACGAGGAGCGCATAGGAAGGACTTGCCCGGACTCCAAGAGCTGGGACAGCTGCCGAGGCTCATCTCCACCACACCAGTGGGCTCCGTCTGGGCTTCCCCTTACCCGCGGGATCCGAAGGTCCCCCCACGCCGCGGGGACGCTGCCCGCTGACCTTTCTCTTTCCCTTGCAGCATGGCCCTCGAGAGGCTCGGGGAAGCGCTGCGCGGCATGCCCCCGTTGCAAAGCTCCCTCCTGCTTCTCCTCTGCCTGCTCGCCGCCATCCACCTGGGCAAGCTCCTCCTGCAGCATCAGCAGCGCCGGCGGCAAGGCCAGCGCCGGGCACCGCCGGGCCCTTTCCCCTGGCCCCTGATCGGCAACGCGGCGCAGCTGGGCAGCGCCCCGCACCTCTCCTTCGCCCGGCTGGCCAGCACCTACGGCGCCGTGTTCCAGCTGCGCCTGGGGCGCTGGCCCGTGGTGGTGCTGAACGGGGAGCGCGCCATCCGCCAGGCCCTCGTCCGCCAGGGGGCCGCCTTCGCGGGCCGCCCGCCCTTCCCGTCCTTCCAGCTGGTGTCGGGCGGGCTCAGCCTGGCCTTCGGCGGATACTCGGAGCTCTGGAAGCTGCACCGGCGGGCGGCGCACGCCACGGTGCGCGCCTTCTCCACGGGCAGCCCCGCCACCCGCCGCCTGCTGGAGCGGCACCTGGTGGGCGAGGCGCGGGCGCTGGTGGCGCTGCTGGTGCGCGGCAGCGCCGGCGGCGCCTTCCTCGACCCCTCGCGCGTCCTGGTGGTGGCCGTGGCCAACGTGATGAGCGCCCTGTGCTTCGGCCGCCGCTACAGCCACGGCGACGGCGAGTTCCTGCGCATCGTGGGGCGGAACGAGCAGTTCGGGCGAGCGGTGGGCGCCGGCAGCCTGGTGGATGCGCTGCCCTGGCTCCAGCGCTTCCCCAGCCCCGTCCGCGCCGCCTACCGCGCCTTCCGCGACCTCAACCGCGACTTCTACGGCTTCGTCCGCGGCAAGTTCCTGCAGCACCAGCGCAGCCTGCGCCCCGGGGCCGCCCCCCGCGACATGATGGACGCCTTCATCCGCCTGCAGCGGGAGCAGCCGTGGCTGCAGCTCGAGCACGTGCCCGCCACCGTCACCGACATCTTCGGCGCCAGCCAGGACACCCTCTCCACCGCCCTGCAGTGGCTCCTCATCTTCCTCATCAGGTATGTGCCGGTGGAGGCGGCAGCAAACTGGAGCGCCCGACCGGCCCGGGGTAGGGGGGACATGCGATCCCGCCCGAGGTGCGAGCGCCCGCCAGCCCCGTTTAACTGCGCCGCATGGGCAAAGGCGCTGCTGGGAGGGCTCCTGCCGCCGGCCCGAGCCAGCGCATGGAACTCCGGGTCCGGGCATAGCCGGGGACGCGGCCCCGGCAGGGACCCGCCGTCGGGTCGCGGGTCTGCGAGACCGGGCAGCGCCGGGTGCCCCAGCGGCCTACGATTAACTAACACGGAAGCTCTGGGAAACCTGCCAGAAAGAGATAAGGAAGTATAAAAGAAAATAAATCCCACCCTACTCAGGCGGTCGGGTTATGGTGCATAAGAAGAGGCTGGCAGAAAGGCAGCCGAGTAAAACCCGAAAGTAACAGATTTTAGCAGGTCAAGATCAAGGAGATCATAGGAACAGGATAACAACTGCTTAAGCGCGATAAAGAGTTCGTGCACCGCTTTACAAACCCGCTATTATGCTGAGCTGCCGCTGTGTGCGCCTTCCTTGCTATTGCGTGACTGGGCAAGGCAGACCCCTTGGGCAGCCGGCGGGAGCGCTGCCCTGGCACCGATCTGTTTGCCGGGGAAATGCAGAGAGGGAGGGTGGTTTAGGAGAAGGTGCCATTACACCGACTCTCTTGCCTATCCTCGCTTTTTCTTTCATCGCCTGCTTAATTTGTAGTCACATGGAAACATTATCTACTCAGTCGCTTCTTGAAAAACACGCAAATATTTAACACTCCAGCTTAAGGGTGTGATGCCCCAGTGTTCACGTAACTTTTGGGTTTCTCCCAATTTCTCATGTTTGCCCAGCATTTGACATGAGAGTCTGCTGCAGGAGAAAAAAGCAAAGATGCAGAAGCCAAACTTGAATACTTTAAGCAGATTAAGGCTCCTGGGCAGAATGTATGCTTTTAGACAAGTAAAAGATGTATTAACATTTTGATCTTGTTTGGTTACTGTGTAGCCCTCCAAATTGTCCAGACTTCAAGACAGTTATCTTTAAATACATTATAGGGAAACATAATATGATATTAATTAGAAAATATCTTCTCAAACTAAAAGTTGGAACCTCATAAAGCCATTCTGATAATTTAATAATTGGGATTTTTTTTCTAGTTTAGAAACCTGCAGGCTTTCAAAGGTATGAAATGTGTCTAGTGATAAATTCCACGCTAACTTCTAAAAGTCACATACAGAGTTGGAAAATCAAATTCTTGTTCCCACAGAAAATGCAATGCTTAGAAGAGACAAGTAATTCTAACTTTAGAATTAATTTTCAAAGTTGGATCAGAATATTCAGTTTCAGCACACTTTAGGTTATTGTTATTTTTTATGTTGAGAATCAGTTACATGGGATATTAAAGGACAAACTGAACAACTCTAAAATTACACCAGTACATGGGAAGTTTGGTTTTTTTCTCTAAGTTTTCAGCTGAGGTCTACACATTTAAACCCTGCTCAAACTGCATCATTCAGGATAGCGGTGAGATTCTGTGAAAAATGTTTGCAGCAAGGATTATTTGTAAGAAAAATTATTTGAAAGTGTTATGTACGCACACACATCTTGCTTTAAATGACAGGTATCCGAAAGTGCAGGCTAAAATGCAAGAAGAAGTGGATAGGATTGTTGGAAGAGACCGTCTGCCATGTGTTGAAGATCAGCCTCACCTGCCCTACATCATGGCTTTCCTGTATGAATCCATGCGTTTCAGCAGCTTTGTGCCTGTGACTATCCCACACGCCACCACAACCAACACCTTCATCATGGGCTACCTCATTCCCAAGGACACTGTCATCTTTGTCAATCAGTGGTCAGTGAATCATGACCCAGCAAAATGGTCCAACCCAGAGGATTTTGATCCAACAAGATTCCTGGATGAGAATGGGTTGATCAATAAAGATCTCACTAGCAGCGTGATGATTTTCTCATTGGGAAAGCGTCGATGTATTGGAGAGGAGTTATCCAAGGTACAGCTCTTTCTCTTTACCTCCATACTGGTGCATCAGTGCAATTTTACTGCTAATCCAAATGAGGACCCTAAAATGGACTTTACCTATGGGCTGACCATTAAACCTAAGCCGTTCACTTTGAATGTTACGCTCCGAGATACGATGGAGTTGCTTGATCAGGCTGTCCAAAGACTGCAAGCAGAGAAAGCAGCCAGTGAAAGTCAGCTGTCAGCAAATGCTTAAGCAATAAACCTTGCATCTACAGATAATCCCCCTCTCTCTTTTTAGATTTATATAACTCATAGCTTGTTCTGGTGATATTTTTGGTACATAGCCAATATTACATGCTATAAAAGCAGGAAGAAAAGTTGCACAAGGTATAATTCAAGTAATCTTTTTAATTCTAGAAGGAGAGCCAAGGGAACAATATATTAAATGATAAAACATATGCAATTTGAAAGTAAGCCTTTTCTTTTCTAGCTTGTTCACAGAAGTTGTCAATGTAAAGTGCTTTTTATCTACTGACTGGTTGGAGCATCTCCAGGAACTGTCTCTATAATCCTTTCCATGTCTCCATGCTCTCTGCCTTAACTCTAAGTTTGCCTTCAGTGACTCCACATTCAGAAGTGAAATCACTTATTAAAAAACAAAACAAAACCAGTTGCTCAGAAAACTGCAGCCTGCTTCTGAATTTACTCTGCTGGAAACTACCATAGGCTCATGGCAACTCTGGTGTTCTGGCTGCTGGGATGTACATTAATGCCTCGATAATAAGTGTTCGCAGGATTTTTGGTAAAATGGCAATGTAAAGTCTTGCCTTCAGCTTTCCAAAGTGTTTACATAAATGCCTAAAACAATAAAAGTCTTGCTTGTAAGCATGTTTGAAACTAAAATTCATGTCTTACATGAAAATTAGTAGAATGTTCTACTATAGTAACTTTCCACAAAGTTTTGAAAGATCAGAATTTTTGTCACTAGATGGCAAGGGTGATACAAATCATATGCTAACCTGTTCATTAGCATATTTACGAACAAAGTAAGTATTTGAATGAGATTTATAAAGGTATAGCTGAACTTTTTGTTTCTTTAGGAAGGAGTTAATACAGCTGTCCCTAAGCACATAGGTAAGTCTAGTAAAATCCACATTGGCCAAGATAGACAGAAGTGAGACTGGGGGGGTTTATATTAAAATATTATTGCCACAAGCTTCAAGCAAAGCACACAGCAAATAATACCTCTACTCACTAGTCATTCTGTTAGGCTGAGTTAAATAGTATATCTTAAAATCAACTATGTACTTTTAGCACAATTTGTTTGGAACAAAGTCCCAGAAGGAAAATAAACATTACATGTCCTAATTAAAGTACCCATTAACTGAACAAAAAGTTCTTTTACAATATTTGTGAGGCAAAGTTCATAATTTTTCTTTTTAAACACCCCTTATTTTAAAGTAAAGCACACATGAAACTTTATGATGTGGAACCTCCAGCTAATCTTTGTTTCACAAAGCTGCAAATTTCTCTAGAAAGCAAACAGCCCTATGTAAATGCCTGATTTGAAAAGTGGTGGGCACTTCTTTGGAGCTGCAGATTGCCTTCAATTACATATGAAATCCATCAGACATGAGAGTTCCTCACATGACTTGCTGTGCTCAGCCAGGGTTACAGTTATCAGTACCAGATAAGGTATTAGCAGAGCTAGAAAAACAAGGTTACAGTGCTACACAGTGAAGTAGCTCTACTGAGACCTAAGCAAGTAAGGATTTGCACTGTGACTTCTGATAGATGGCCAGTCTCAGTGACGCTGGCAGTAGGGACAGAGCTCCTACTGGCACTGGGAAGAGCTGGCTTAACACAACCCCGATCTTACCTACAAGTTTGCTACTGATTTAAAAAGCCTGAATCAAGCCTGCAAGCACTGCTCTATAAGCCCACACAGTACTAATGTACCTGCTTAAAGTCTCTGGCTTCATATGGTATCTATTATCTGGTTTAGAGCTAAAAAAAGCTTTCTGCTACATACACATGAAGTGACCTCAGGTGTTTTTGTGAATTACATACAAGTTTGTGATATCCCAGAACTTAGCCTATATCTGTGAAAAGCTTTATAAGATACTCAGCATTTTCATATGGAGATCTACATTAGATCAAATGCTAGCATGACAATTTTTCTTTTACTTTTGTAAGTGTTGTTATTAAAAGAAATAAAGTATGTAACCTATAGCTGAATCGCTATTCTAATGCAAGGATAATCAATTCATATTTTAATAAAAAATGTCTTTTGCAATTTTTTACCTTTCCAAAAGCTGTAACTATGCATTGGCTACTAGTGCAAAATCCATCCACACTGCTCAGGTCAGTCAAGAGGTTACATGCTATATAGCTGTTGGTCACATAAAGCCACATGTACTCTGCAAAGTTATTCAAATTTAGTAGCACCTATTTAGAATGTATGCAGTCATTTAGCAAGCTAAATTCTATGGTAGTTTTGAGATGTATCATTGTGTTCCCAAAATATTAAATAAAATTATTCTTACACTACCCTGCTTAGTTTATATACAGCTTTCTAACATCAAGATAAAGAAACTTAAAATTATTATTTCTGATTTGGAAAGTATTATTGTTTTAGATATTTGTTCATATACTTTGCACCTTTTTCCCATTCCTGGATTTTAAGGTTTTTCCTCCATGCTGCCCTTACAGTTCTCAGGTCTGTTGGCCTTACATACCTTGCCATCTGTTTTCAACTTCCTAATGCTCCTTGCTAAGAACATCCCCTGCTGTTTGCCTCAGCATTGATCTGAATTCTCCCGTGTCTTCTGCTTTTTTCTATTACCTGCAGGCTGAGGAGAAATTAACAATCTCCTCTGCTATGCCCTTCCCTCTGGCATTTAATTTTGCTTCCACCTTCCCTGTTTTCAAGCCCACAGACTGGTTTTCCTTTCTTTTTCCCTCCCATATATAGTGCTGGCATCTATATACTCCTGACACTGGAGCACTGACCAATTTGTGCTCTTTTAGCCTGGCTATATAGTCAAGAGTGCCAGGAATGGAAATCTCGGGGCCGAACAGGCCTTGACACGCCCTTGCAGAGCAACCTCTCACAAAATGAAGGCAATCCCATGGTGAAGGGTGGCTGTTACTGCAAATGTAAAGCATTTCTTCATGATGAAGTATCTTCCCCACCCCTTGGTCTTCTTTTCCTCAGTCTGCTACACAAGCCTGCCTACTTTAGAGCTGTCTTAGAAATGACCATGCTTTCCCTAACCCCAAGGGAGTGGAACAAGATCCGGGTGAGACGGGAGGCTGAGCAGACTGATGAGCAGTAGTTTCCTTCTGATTTGAGATATTTTCAGCTGGAGTTTCTCCCTATGGGGGCAGGATCTAAGTTCAGGCTGAGTTGGTGAAATCAGGATCACAAGTTAAAGACAACTTAGGAAGTCCTCCTAGGAATTGCCAAGGGCCTGTGGAGTAGGTGTAGTGTCCAGAGATAGGCTGTGCAGTGTGTAGATGGCATGGGCTGGCCAGTGGGACAGCGCTGATTCACAGCAGGTGTCCCTGGGTAAAAGCCAAGAGTACCTCCCTCACCAACCTGTGACTGGGTCACCACAGCAATACTAGACAAATACAAGTTGCTCTTTCTTCATGAAGAAAAGCAGGAGGAATCTAGGCAGCTGTATTCAAGGCAAGAGTTCTCCTTTAAAAGTCTTCTTGCTCAGGTTATAGTGATCTCAGTGGGTTGGGAAAGCCAAATGTCATCTAATGCTTGCTTTCTCTGTATATGTGCACACTCACACACTCAGCCTACCTCCCAGAATTCTAACATCCTTTATTCAGGTTGAGATAAGGTATTAAAAAACCAAATCAAACACCATAAGAAGCAAAAAAGCCCGTAAGACCCCAAAACAGGAAGCCTGGACTTAAGCATACATTTCTTGCAGAGCCAGTAGCTGTTAGACCACCCCACTACATAACAAGGAAGGGGAGCAAGTATAACTATTAGTAGCTTACGGAGTTGATATGGGATATGTTTATTCCAGTCAAGTGTACCATTACATCCCTATGAACCCAATGGAAACTTGCTGGCTTCAGCAGGAGTTGGTTCAGAGCTGCTGAAATCCATACCAATAATACAAAAGACTCATCAGAGCCTGAGCGACAAGCACTGCTGTAAAGGTGGGGGGCGGGGGGGGGGATGTCCAGGATCTATGAAACAGCTATTGGTACCGGCACAGTCATGGCTCAATGCAACTAAATGCAGTATCAGTCAGTTTTGCATCAGACCCAGTAGGTTTTGTGAGTTTCAGGGACTGATGCATAAGTCTGTCTGTAGGAAATAGTTTCAGAACATCCAACCAGAGCAGAGATTAGGCAATTGGGAACTCACATTTTACCTGAGAAAAGTTGAGGAATTAGCCTTGGAAAGTAAACAGTTAACATTTGCCTTTGCCACATCTTTAATTTGGTTAAACATTACTCTGATCTTTCATTTGCCCAAACAAATTCAGCTTGGGATGCCACTGAAAGTGAATCTGACTTTCTTAATGAATGAAGAGAAGGGCTGGATTCTGAATGGTACTGTTATTTTGGTGTACAGTACAACATGGACACAACGATTCAAGTTTCAACAACTTCTTTGCTGTTTACCACCCTGCATTTCTGCAGCTGATTTTTTTTTCATGTTTCAGTCACTTGTACTCAGACCAGGCCAACTCACTTAAGTGTCAGGCGAAACAAGCTCAGTGTTAAGCACAGACTGTGGGACTCCGGTTCAGTCAAAGAAAAGAAACTGAGTGTTTCTAGCCAGGCAGACACCTGGGAAAGAGCTGGAGAGAATGTAAATAATTCTTTATCTCTCTTGTTCTCACACTGTTTATATTTAAGTTCTATCACTGTGCGTCAAGCGCTCTGCACCAATGCTGTGGATTTTCACTTCAGAACCAATGGATTTGGCCTTTGTGAAGCTCTGTATAAAAGAGCAGTGTATTTTGAATAAATCGGAGTTTTACTCTCAGCAGCCTTCTGAGTGAGTCTTCTCATTCCCATCCTGCCTCAACAGCGACAACAGACAGTCTGGAACATTTAAGACATCTGCAGCTGATGCTTTGACAGCCCTTCTTTTGGGCTTTTTGGCAACTTTTCAGACAGCTTCATGAACTAAAAAATTTGTTGCTCGGTTAGTGTTGCCCTATCCTTCAATACTTAGAGCAGATCTTGCTCCAGCCTGAAAGCACAAAGTTGGGCTGCCCAAATCAGGAAAGATGTCTCAAGTCCCTGTGCTCTGGGTCTTTGCTGAATGTCTGGGGACAGCAATCCATCACTATAGTTAACTCAGGAGATACAGGATGCTCAGGCATTTCAAGTGCACATGGGTGGAGGCAGGGAGGGGAGTGGATTCAGAGGGAACTCATTAACGGTGCATAAATCAACTGCTGAGCCATTTGCTGGAGTGGCTGAGAGCTGGCAGAGGAAAATATATGTCTGGACTGCAGCAAGATTTCAGCTGGGAAGGAAGTCTGCACAGGGTCTCTGATTTCCAGGAAAAGAGAAGTAGTGATTTACATTGTTTGTAAATACACATACAGATACAATACGCCAGGGTTAGGGTGATAAGAATCCATATGGTATTAAAGATAGTCACATCAGCAGCAGGGAATATCAAACTGAAAGCATCAGGATCAAACTTTACCAGCCTGAAGACAGGATGAGTGTTTTTCTGAAAGCTTTGGAAAAAAAGGATGTCCAAAATGTAAGTCGTGACTGCCTGTTAAGTCAAATAATGGCTCTGGGAGGCAGCAAACATTGAAATGAGAGCTGAGGAACTAAACACAAGGGATTGGCTACAGGATTTGAGAACAAAACATGTCTACAACAAAAGGTCATGGATAGTCTGTCTTTCTCCTCACCTTGGCATCCCCAGTACCTGAGAACAAGGGAAGGAAGAGACAGCCCAGCTGCAACAGTTTGAACACCTTTGGGGAATCTTCCGCTTGACATTCAGACAGAGCAGTAGAAGAAGCTGGCACTACACCAGAGAGAAACACTTCTGATCTAGAGGATCTGTTCAGAGCAGTTCAGTGCCATTTATTTGAGCAAGCCGAGCAGGAAGAGTTTGGTATCAGCTGGTTATTCTCACACTATAATTTTGCCTTCAGCTCTAACTAGGCTTGCTCGACACCACCCCCCCCCCCCCCCCCCCAGGAAAGAATGGCATATATATTGTGGCACGCTCCAGAACTAGGCTTTCTCTGGTATTATTGGTATATTTTCAGTTGTGTCTTAGACTAGGCTTTATTTCCACAATCTCCCTTCTCCCAGCCTGACCTCTGGTAAGAGCATAACTGTTATCATGCAGAAACAGGCTTCTAAACCTCTCATGATAACAAATGGAATTTCACATAATCACATTTTCTCAGCTAAAAATAACAAAACACCTCCCCTATTTAGACTGCTCTGCTCATCATAGTAGAAGTGGACATGTGGAGTGAGACATCTTGCTCCCAGTACAAAAGCAAGATTCACCAAGCAAGACAAAGTTTGACTTCACAAAGCAAGTATGGTTTGCAATTTTCTACAGAAGAGCATGCAACAATACCCCATGCTTCTTTTATGCTTTGTATTCTGTGAAGTATTTTCAAGCTGCAGTTCAAAAATTTAATCCAACTGTATATCATCTTTTCAATTACACTTTTTCACTCTACAGAGGAAAAGCATAAATTATGAGGCTGTTAATCTTCTGTGGTTCAGAAAATCTAGATAATTCAAGTTTTAAAAATAGCCACCAGAAAGTAAACTAAAACTTCACAATAATTACCCTAACGAAAAAATGTGGCTCCTAAATGAACCTTTGTCTCATTGTAACAAAGCTTATTTTCCTTCCCTTAATTTACATGTACTGCTGCTGGGACACAGCGTTGTGCTACAACTTGTTCCAAGACATAACTCTGTTCATCTCTCTGTTTCTGGCAGAAGAGAGCTGAACCTACACTTTAGAACAATATACCCTGCAGGGAAACTTTCTGAGCAGCCCTTCCAGGTGGCATAGAAACAAAAGAGAGGTGTTTTCCACCAGTTTTATCTGGATAAGAATTCTTTTTCTCATGTGCCTAACATCCTGCCCAGCCAGCATCTTCCCAGTATGTGAGGAGCACCAGTGCTACAGTGAGCTGAGGGCAGATCAGTAAGTGGGGCTTTGGTCAGAAACTACATAAATAGCCTTCTTAAAAAAAAAAAAAAATCAAACAAGGAAGAATTCCCATAAAGAAGGGAAAGAAAAAAAAAATCCGGAATAAATAAATATTTAAATTGACAAGGTTCTCCACAGAATTACAAGGTAGATCCTCCAGCGACATCATACCTGAACTGAAATTTTAAACAAAAGAATCCCTGCTCCTGATGGCATTAAGACTGAGATATTTAGCACCTGTGTGTTCAGACTTACAGCACACTGACAATCTTGTTTTCTGCATTTGAAGGTTAAGGTAATTTCCTTGAAGTCATCAGCAGAGACAGAATACAAAACATTTGTCTCACAATGTATT